TTGGTCTTTTTGATGTATTTCGAACTAATTGGAGAGATGATTAACATCACAAGTGTTCAACTTCAACAATTTTTCTCGGATTTACTTTTGAAGGAAGTGGATTTATTGGTTATAGCATCCGTGAAAGACTTCAAGTATTCTATTGTTTAATTGAGTTAGCACCAAAAGTTGCCAAAGTCAATAGTCTTGTCTATGATGGACCGTCACTGAACTACCCTCGCAAGTATTGCCCTGGACATACTGATCTTCTTAAACTCTGAAAATAATCTCATTAACTTGACCTTGCAGAATTTAAAAATTCTGAATGAAAACTCACAAGGTTGAATTTGAATACAAGGAACATATCATCAATCAAACTTATAATGATTTTTGAGTATGAGGCATATTCTTATTGGTGGCAAAGTCAAATTTGTCTCCGTATCCACAAGTATAAGCAAAAATAATTCTCATATATGATCATAAAGGCTTCCTTAATTTATAGACTCCGCTATATTTATTTTTGTTTAATGCTCAAATTATGGAGACAAATTCCAAAATTTAGGAGGCCTACCTTAGCTAGATAACTTTCTGAAGTGATACATACATGTTACTTGAATAATATTCTATCATAATTCACAAATAATAAAATCTCTGCCATATGGTACTAGTAGTTCTTGTTAGTTTCACTTTCATATATGTGAAAGTTGACACTCTATATAATTCCAATACTAAAAAATAAAATGATTTCTTTATAGGAGATTAGTAAATGAACATCACTTTTTGGAGAAATGGACATCACCCTCCGTCTCGTGGCTGCCCCACGCATTTGGTGGAGGGAATTAGGCTTCAGGTAAGGCCCATGGTAGCTGCCTCTAAAGTTTGCCTCGCACTTCCATTAAGCTAGGGCCCAATGCAGAGTCAAGGTGTGAGAGCTGTAGAGGACTTCATTGATTCCACCCACCAGACATGCCCCACAAACTCTCTTTTTCACCCCACGCTCCTGCCCTCTCCTTAAGTCGTTTCTACAACGGAGCTCCTACGATCAACGCGCGTCCTCATTTCTCACTTGGAAATTTTGTACTTCCTATGAAGGAGGGCAATTGTTGATCGGAGCACAGCCTGCTCCACATCGTCGTCGTCACCAGCAGCCCCTGGCCTCCGAGAAAGAAAGTTGTCGTTCCGACAAGTACCTAAGGTTGCTGCTCTGCTCCTCCCAACCTCCTCCGGAGATATGTACGGGGTGATGTCTATATATCAAAAAATTGATGTCCATTTATCAGACTCCTTTTTATACTATCAAACTTGAAAACTTGGTTGTTGTCGCTTTGCTTGCTTGCCAAACATGAAGATTTATGAGCACATCTCTGAATTTATGTCATCTACGTAGTGAATACTAACCATTCTGTTGCATGAAAGTGCTTCTGAGAAATCCTGAACACGTAAGTATAGGGTAGTAAGGTTGTTCACATTCCTGTTAGATTAAATCGGTTAATACCGGTTAACCTCTAGATTAACCCTGATCTTTTTTGTTAATGGATCAACTGACAATTAGGTTATTGAGAAGTAAAACAAACGTGAAAATTTTGTTGAGTATGTAAAACATGGATTAGACTGCATAATTCAAGACCAAAGTGGTAAAGCATTGCAATTGCAACACATTCTTTTCTTACACATATTCTTCATGTGTTTGAGAATCAGCTACTCCGTGAATATCGACACGGATGACATAGCACTTGTTGTTACGTTACAATGATAACACAACTATATAAAAACCTTAGGCAATTTCAGCATTCGCCAGTTCATGTCAAAGAGATTGAAGTTTCCCAACCATTCACATTATTCATCTCTACTACAAAAGGTAGAAAACATATCTTATAAGCTTATTCAATTTTTAATCAAGATCAAGAGAAAATTACATTCAGTTTCAACCTCTTATTATTATAATAGTAGACGTTTTGTAGTTGTCTTATCAAGAATATTTGTGAACTTATCAAGTGTATAAATATTGAATATTGACTTGAACATTTGTTGACTATTTCACGAAGCATATTCTTCTTTTTGATGCTAGCTTTTACATCTACAACTTATCAATTGATAATATTTTATCTATAGAAAACATAAAATTCATCCTCCACCTCTAGTGGAATTCAATCATTCATAGAATTGCACAATTTTTCATAAGAGTTTATATTTAAAAGCCGTAATGAGAGATGATAGTCACTAGCTTGGAGCACATAAAGGTTGTTAAAACACTAAAGTGAAATATCATTTGATTACATGTAAGCAAATCCTTCAATTTTTAAAAAAATTAGGAAAATTAAATTTCAGAATAATAATTTCTTTCATTCTGTACCTATCATTGATGTAACCATTGTCGTCTTTCAACAACAATATAATCATGAAAAAATCCTTTGTATTAGTATTGATAATCATCTATCAAAAAAATTCAAACAAACTTTTGATTCAAAAATCATGAAAAAACTTGAGTTCAGATAAATCTTTGTAGTGATTTTCAATAGAAAAAATTCATTAAAGAAACACATGATAAATTTCAACTATAATATGTTCAAAAAACATATATATATATATATACTCTTACTGTAATCTTCAATCTTTTCATTAGTAATTGTGATAAGCTTTGAAAAACCAATTGATCTAATAAAATATATTTATAATTTGCTCCAATCAATCAAGATTTGAATTGATGTTCATAAAGCTTCTTCTTGTTTTATGTGTTGAAAAATTATAGACAAACAAACATATATGAAAATTGTGCATAAATTTAAGAAGTAAAATCAACATTCTTTTGAAATCATATCTAAGCCATAATCAAAACAAGATAGAGTATAATCATATACAAAGTTTGTACAATTGTTGGTATTCTACACTTTACACATGTGCAAAGTCTACAATGTGATATGATGCATAAAAAAATTATAAAAAAACATCATTGTAGTAAAGTTTAAAAGACTAAATTTGTATTTTTTTTTTTTTACATAACAATTTTTACAAAAAATGTTACTTGTAATACTAGAGTATAGAGATAAGCTCACTCAAAGATAAAAACCTAAACTCTGAAGATGAAAAATATCAATAATTTTTTAATTCCTTGTATAACTCTTACCAACAAGTACAATGATATAATATCTAATCTCCACCATCCAATCCACTTCTAGTGGATTGGTGACATGGCGTATATATCTAATGAGCACACGGATTGCTGATGTGTCACTTCTAACTAGCACATGAAATAATATACAGATTGATAACATGACAATAACATATTGTTGACGTGACAATGTAAATATTCTATTATCATTTACTCTACTTTTGAATAACCTCTACTTTAGTTCTAACTAACTAAATATCGTTACATTATCTAACTCAATGGTGTCAACTACACTAGAGTAACGTCGTGGACACTTCATGGCCCCCTACATCCCTTCCATGTCTCAAATCAACGGGGTTGTGACATTGGACGATATCAACAAAGAAGACTCGGTGTAAATTAGAACACCCTAGTACTTCGCACCAACCGATGGAATAGATAAAGGTAGCCGATACCTCACCTCACTCCATGTAAATCCACCACGGTCCTCAAGAGTACCACCAAACTTCTCAGTGATGACCAAATCTTCAACTGGTACCACTATCCAATCCTCACCAAGTAGCCAAATCTTGCTGACGTCCTGCCCGCACTAAGCTACTCTAGCTCTACTAGATATGTACTATGGGCAACCTAACATATGTCATGTGTATTGTATTTACTAATTTTAATCGTCGGTCTAGGATTAAGTGTGGAAGACATATAGTCGAGAGTCACTGTAAGAACGTTTAGTTCTTCGAGCGAGCTTGTAGCGTTGGGAGTAGTCTTTAGTGGGTTGGCTATGGTGTCTGTAAGCGTCAACCTAGATTCTCTAGTGAGTGGGTTGGGCTTGACTTTTGTGTGACGTTCTTGTATTGAAATAGTGGAATAAACACGAGTAATGTCACACAAAAACTGTTGTGATACACTGGAGTGTGTACGGTCTCGTAATCTATGTGTGTGTATGTGTGTAAGTAACATGTCAGCGATGTAGAGTGTATGGCAATACATATTCGCAGTACAACTGCCATCACCGCAAGAAGATTCTCATGGTCTACTGATCATGACTCCAATCTCATCGTGAGAGAAATAAAGATAGTCGGACAGTGATCAAGTCTTGTCACACTATCAATAGCGTACATGAGTTTACTACTCCAAAAATCAACGTCCACTCCTCTATGGTCACGCACCAAGAAGCAGGATTGGAGAGTCTCCAAACACAATCAAACAGCTAGCAGCAACTCTATAGTCTGAAAGAAACACATCACAAAACAACAAAACACACACGAGACATCGCATCGCATATCGATTTTGATTTGATCTCCATTGCCTCCTATCAACTTCAGTGTACATCAACCTCGTCCACCAAGTCACAAAGAGAAACTTCACGCCGTGTTGTCACATTCCACTTCAAACTACAAATTGAGGAAGTAATATAAAAACAACCTATCTATTCTACTATACATAATGTGAAAAAAATCATGATAAAAAAAGTGATGCCCCCACTACCTTCAATGAATATAGTAAACATTGAAAGTTTAATATGTTTTTTATCACACTATATATATATAAGTATCTTGTTTCTCAGTTTGGGTTCATTATCCCACATCCTAGGCTAATGTGCACTATTTCTTCACTTTCTTTTCGTGAAAACTATATCACACCGCTCTAATAAACAAAAGTATAGTTCTCATTAATTACAGAGCTATGTTCCATATAATTTGGTAGGATGAGGTATAATTAATCTAAACTGAAATATTTTGTGTGTATATATATATATATAAGATAACCTTAAGAAGCCAGATATACTATACTTCTTCTTTGAAGCCTTCTACAGATATAGTCGAGTTTACATATTAGATGATCGAAACCCTCGCCACAAATACACATGATCGAGGCTGTAGTCTAAACGTGCCTTTTAGTTGACACTAAAAGGCACGTTTAGACATCATATTTATTAGATGATATGTCCAAAGGTACTGATACAAAGTCACTTCATTAAGCCTGAAGGTTTAGGAGCTTGAACAACCAAGGAGCTGATAGAAATTTGTTACAGAATGTTCCCTAGTGTTACTGAATAGAGTATCACTAAACAAATCCCAAATCGTGCATGTGCAGAACCGGAAATCAAAAAATTGGTGATAGATTCTTCTGGCAACAACACTAACTCACAACCTACCTTACACGCCTACGGAGATCAAAACTCCTAGGGTCTCTGACCACGGGCACCATTTTTGCTTCAAGCTGTCGTAGTAAATCCTCTCCCTGAAAGATCCCAACATCAAATCCACAGGGAGAGCAGTGCATCCAAGACTCCTATAATCAATCTATTCAAATGTCCAATGCTTCTTGGTGGTACTCAATTGTGATCTTAATGACCTATTGTGAACGTTTAAACTGTTCTGGGACTGTCCCGATCATCCAGCTCAGAAACCAAACGTTGTTCACGTGTTGATTCATGTCACAATCTCGTTGAATAGCCACAACGCCCTTTATTCTAAGAGCTGCTTCTTCTCCTCGTTGGCTTGCGGAGTCTTGCTCTGGCGTACTCCCTCCAGCCTCTGGCGAACGGAAGAGCTCGACCATGACGTGATCTCAGCATACCACTCCATTCTCGACCTAGAAATTTCTTGCTTCTAACCAAGCTGGTACAAACGCACGGCAGAATCCGAATTGTCAAATTCCTGTAGAGATGAGTGTGGAACAATTCTCAACACTCCAAATGAATTCACTTCCTCTCCAACGTGCAGCTCAAAAAAGAGTAACCACGGAAACCAGAAAAACCCAGAGCCAGACAGCACCAAACTCTAGTGGGTTTTTTGAGTGAAATTAACACGAAAAACGCCACTAGTCTGCGGTCGAATTAACATGTGAAGGACACACTTATCTTCACCCACAAACATTCATAACTAAATCAAGTCGAATCTATTTCATTGGAGAATAAATGTCAACGATGTTTATGGAATACAAAATTATTGAACGTTAATCTTCTCAAAAACTTGAAAAACTGAACCGTGACCATATATTCTTAGGCACTGCGTTAAAATCTTAATAAGATATTAAATATAGATAACACGTGTGTAACTATCATATTGAACAATGAAAATCATCAATAATTATTTGATAAATTCTCATGTAGATTTTTGTGATAATACATGACAATGGATTTTTGTTTAAAAAAATCTTACATTTATAGACATTAATCATTTGAAATTTTTATGTGTGAAAACTCATTATAAAAATTTTATATATATCTAAACACATTTGAAGTCAAAATTCATAAACAATTAGAGAAAAGAAAATTTTCATATTATCAATACAAATCTGAAATAATTAACATATTAAATTCTAAATATTACATTAAAACATTATTCTAAGATGTATGAATAATGATTGTACTTGTATAATTATTACATGATTCTTATAAAATAAAATATTATTATTATTATTTTATTTGTTAGGTTATGCTTGTATTATTTAATGAAATGTATAAATTAAAAATCTAAAATCAATGTATAGTAATTTTATTTGATGTCTAATTAAAATTACTTGGAAAAGCATCATCAATGACACGAGATTAGTCATAATCCACCTAATGCAGGCCTCGTAAGACTTGGGAAATCCTATAATTATCGAAATTAACTTAAATTATGGATTCAATTTTTCTTAAGTTTGTTAATTCTGGGATTTACTCAGATTCGCACTTTATCACTCGATGATGGTCTAAATCTGACTTAGGTAAATTGTCTCTGAGATATATGTTGAGTGTTAGAAGCTGAATATGTATAATCTACGAGACCTCACTGCCATGAAACAATTGTTTCAGGCCACTTGGATTTCTTTAAATGAAATTGTATCATCAAACCAATGTGACTGCACACCTTCATGAGTACACAAAATCAATACTGCAAGAAATGAGCAAACTTCTTGACGCAAGTGGGATATGCTACACCCTTTTGAGTAAATATGGATTACAGCAACAATGGTTTGTGATTGATTAGAAATCTTCAGCTGGCAAAAAATGTAAAAGATAATAACCAGTGGAGCATAGTCTTAGATGCAGGATGTATGGACAGGGATATCGGGTAAGAAGTTCATGGAGATTTGACCATAAAGCTTCAGGCACCATCAAGTAAGTAAGCAATATTTGCAAAACAAAATTCACTCTCTAATTCTTCTTTGTAAAAGCTCGGCTTTTCCTTCCAGACGTTGTATAAGGTCCATTCCCCCTATCTCAGCACCGATGGACTATGATGCTGACGGCGTCCTTAAGTTATGGACGCCGCAAGTTTTAATTATGGTTAATTCTGGGATTCTTCAGACAAATCCCAGAATTTAGGAGGCCTGACCTATTGTATTTGATCTCATGTATAAAAAGCCATGAGCAAGTACATAACAGATATATTTTACGTGTACTTTTAACCTATTATTGAGTTTTCATTTTCATTGAGATTATTAAGATTCAAATTGTTCGATAAATATATGAGTGACACATATGAATCATGACTAATTATAAAAATCAATAGCATCTGTGATTTTTGTCGAACAATTCTGAAAGAAATTTTGAAAACCTTATACAAAAGGAAGCAAACAAATTTCTTTTCTAGTAATTTCTTGACCCAAATTAACTTTAAATTCTAAATTTCGTTGATACATAAGACTAAATGGTGATAAATTACGCCAAAAATTGATTTTTTATCTCTCAATACTGACCACATCTACACAAATTTCTGTTTAGTCTTGTTTTTAATATTACATTCATAACATAACACCAAATCTTTCGATACATTAAAAAAAATAATACAACACGTTCATTTGTCTATCACGTAATTTAATCCCTTCATGCCATTCCACATCTCTACAGTTTTAAGTCTACTTAGATCAATTTCATTCAACTCGATTCTATAATAGTTCCAACAGATACGTCATTAATGCAGGTGTCACATCTTGCCAAAACCAACTAGAAGCAATGTTCATGATAAGACTTATGCTGTTGTAGTCATAATTTTCAAATATATACATAGAATTACAGAAGAATGGCATTCATGGTCGTCTACCGTAGTTAACGCAGTAGATGATTTCCGAAGACAAAACCTTCGTGCCACTAGCGAAGAAGTAACTGAAATATCACAGAAATGAACTGCATGCTTGGATTATGGCTAAAGTAGCAGAATATTCTTCTTATTTCCGACTTATAAACCATGTAATACTGCTAGCATGTCCAGATGTTGGGTGAAGTACACTGTCTGGACATGCATCATGCTGAAGGTACTTGATACAAGAACATCAAAACTTATTCAGTTCAGATACATCCCCATTAATCAACTGTCAAGTTCAGCTACCTCGGCATCCGAAAGTTGACCATTGTCATCTTCAAGCTCTGGTTCAGATCCTTCTTGTTCCTCTTCAACATCTTCTTCCACGTCGTCTGCGTATAGCTGAGAACTAACCTCATGCCCGTGAAGATTTTTGTGCTTCAAATTACCTTCATGATCCACAATGAGACGAGACAGTTTATTCTTCAATTCTATCGACACATCTTCACACAGTACACTACGATTAACACATCGTGTAGAAAAAACGAACAACTCAATTATTGGCTCTTACCCATCCAAAAGGAGTCTCCGTGGGACGTGCCGTGGAGGAGGGCTTTTACACAGAACAGGTAACGTTCCATTGATCGCTTCACCAGAGGAACCCGACAAGTAACCGGCATTCGTTTTTGGCCCTAATCCCAATGGCGAAATTTCAGTCAGCGCAATGAGTTACATATTCAACACAGTGAAGCTGCAGAGCAACGTAGAGCACAGGTAGGAAGGATACCTTCGCGTCAGAGCAAAGAGTTTGAATGATTCGTGTTGCTCTTTGGAGGTCCCTCACCTGTATCATCGGATGCAAATTACTTCATAGTTTAACCAAGGTAGTACAAAATAAATATAAATCTCGAGAATCCAGGTCAGGAATTTTTTTGAGAAAGTCCTTTTGTTGATACAATTGTGGAAGGAGGCAAACCCGTGGCTGGTTTTGTTGGTGGTGCGGGTCTCGCTTATTTAGCTAATTATAAAGCCAATGATCAATTACAAGAGAAAATTCATAACTATCAAGATAATAGGGATAAACCGCTTAAGCTTCCGCAGGATGATGCCCGGGTTCACCCGCATTTCTCGTGTCCTTGTACCACGTATCTCCCTTGATCTAATTGTTAGGCGAATGATCCAATCATTTCGTCTCTACTTGATCGTAAAGGCAAAGCCAAATTTTTGTATCCGAAGATCTTCCTTTATCAAAGACGAGGGAAGTCCAGCACAACGCAAAACAGGGATGCATGATCTAAGATGCTTCCATCATCCAATGCGTCGCATGATGTCGATTGTGCAAACTGACATCCATCCTTTCTAACAAAACATAATTAGAATTGTACTCACCAAATAATTAATATTTTCTTTGTGATCTTCGTAATGTATTTTGAAGAAGTCCATTCCTGCCAGTTTCATTACCAAAAGTTTTGCGTAAATAGACCAGAGGATTGACTTGAGGAAAATCATTTCACTTCGGCAAGTACAGAGACAGCTCTTAACCAAGAGTATCCATAACTACTTCGCTATAGTAGACCCGACCTTTCAGAAATGTGTCTACAAATTTGCCGCCGCACTTGACTGCCATCGCATGCACCGGTGCCTGCGAATAATTACGTGCTAATTTTTTAGAACCATGCTTTATTCAATCCGCGTGACCGGGAAATGAGACCGGGACGAACTCTTCAAAGGAGGAAGATTTGTAGATGTATGACGACTGCCTCACAGTTCTTGAAGAACCACAGAAGTTGGCCTGGAAATTATCAAATTGAAGTGAGTGGAAAAAAGGCATGACCAAGTTTTCGAAGGGCCGTACCTTATCATGGGTTTTGGTCAAATTCACCAAAACGACATGTACAGATATGCACTGCTGAACTTCTGCGAGCGCTTTGGTTACCACATCCTTTACAAGAGTCACCTTAGACTTGCACTTTGCTTGGATATCTTTAATCTGAAACCATACAGAGGAAAGAGAAGGTGTTGAGACTAGCACGGAGAGGAGAAAACCTTTCATATTGAATGATGATCTAAGGTAGAAGAGATGTGTCAAGAAAGAATGTAACATGAGTATACATGAGCTAGATCGGTATGATATCAGTTCCAATAAATGCAAGAAGCCCTTACCGCTTTATTCAGTGAACTGAGCACCTCCTCATGCTGCAGAGAATGAAATCGTAATTAATGGTGTCATACAAGAGAGCTAAGTTGCTTTCAGCCAATTGATGCAGATCTACTAGATTTAATTTGAGTCACCATAAGCAGATGAAAATCTCCGTTCTTACTGCAAAAAGACTCAGCTACTAAACAGCATGCGAATCTAGCTCAGATGAATCCAAGTTAAACTTGCACCAAGATCACTCAACTGACAGGCATGAAAATACTCACCAGAACACGGTACCAAATCGTGAATGTTGCTGGACTCAACGCCGGGTACCCTTCAACTCCTAAATTTGACTTGCCCTTCTTCGATGATACCTGGACGTGTATCAAAGGGTGTCACTATTCTTGAAATCCTGGACCTGGACCATCTCTTCTGCATCCATCTAAGATACACCTATCACCCTTTGACAGTGGCGAATAACCGTGTCTAAAACTGGCTATGACAAATTCTATTCGAGCTGTGACAAATACCAAACATCTTTCTGTACGGGACTGAAACACGAGATATCAAACGGGTTCTTATCCTAATTTCCTGTGGTGCGGCTGACAAAAACCAATTTAAACCTGGGGCATGGCCGTGCAAGCAAGCTCTTCTAGATAGTCGATAGGATGTTCACAGTTCTGAATCTGCATACGGAGCAGCTGCTGCATCATGTCTCCCTGCAGTTGCAACGTGTTAATTTCTAACGATAGTGAACAGCACTCTGCAACTCATGACACGCTTATGGTCTCTTGAAAAGTACATGCAAAATACGAGACGCTTTACTTGGGTCAGACAATCAAATATGTACATCTAGCGATGAGCTTCACATGAGGAATGGCAACACAATTTGCTCATGCCCTCTAACAGTGGTGCAGAAACAATGCCTTAGATAGTACAACTATCATCCTTACACCTGCCAAGTTGGAGGCGAAAGTAAACATCTTATCGTATGCACAGTTTATCGGAGTTACGCTGTCCTTCCTAAGAATTGTCTACTGTAGAGACTAGCAATTACTTGTCACTGCAAGTTGTCCATATGCAGTGAATTGTATGTCTGAATGTGAAATTATATTAGTATGACCTCATAAGTGTTAAATTGTGAGCAATGAATAGGGCCACCAAATCTACTGCTGTTTAAGTTGAACTCACTTTGGTCTTTTTCCACTCATCTGAATCCCAGTCGCTTCGCAACACGTTCCCTGCAGATGAACTCAGACGGCCGCGCAGATATGGCAATATCTCACTCGTTCTAAAGGAGTTCGATCTTCGCCGTCTTGGATCATCTATGGATCTCTCAGTAAAGGTCTGTGCACAACTTACAACGGCCTTGAGCATCATAACGGTTTCGGTGGCCGCAATGATCGACGTGGCAATGGCTGCATCAAAACAGCGACTGAGTTATCTGCCATGACATTTAAAAATTTTCTTATGCGAAAAAATTGCTATCGAAGACTACAGATGTCCAGTATGTAGCATACAGTGGAAATTAGACAAAGTAGCGTCTACAATAACGCAGAAAAAAAAAACTGACCTGTTTCGGTTAGACCATCTAGATAAGTATAAGCTTGATAAAATGCTTCTTCCATAGAACCGGGAGCAATAGATGAGGCCATATTGGGGGCTACAGGTTGCGTACTCCCAAATGCCAGAAGAAAATCTTTAAGGGTTGGGAAATTTGCTGGCATTGTTAGTTCGGAATACGCAAGTACCTACAGCAGTGAAAACTGTTAGAAAATGGCTCCTGCATATATTATATGGTGTAAATATCTGGCCGACAAAGCCAGAGGCCCTCTTCAAATAGCTTGTGCATATAAACATTCTAGGCTAACTCAGTCAGGCAGAGCATTCATAAACTAAATTGGTGACATGCCGAACACGAGAGTGATAGTATTTAGGTAATGTGATGGAAGACGACCAGGGAATAGAAAAGAAGGAGCGAATAAAAGGCATATATGAAGTTATATGTACTACCGCAGAGAAAACGAGAGCATTAAAACTGTCTGTCAGATGATGGATACACAAACCAGATGGATGAAGAACAAATCCTTATTCTCGAATGCAAGATGAATGATAGATCTGAACATTTTCTACTTTGCTACAAACCAATCCTCAAGAAAATGATCATTGATACAAAGTAACAAAGAAGCAGTAACGAGTATGAAGGAAAATCAATAAGTGCTTTGTTGGAAATCAATGATTTCTTATTTTTCAAAAATTGAGCGACACATATCACGCCCCACTCTTGCATGGTTGCCTGAGCTGTATGACTTCATAAGCGTCCTCCTAAAGAGGTAGACATGTACGTCCTTCTAAAGAGGTAGATTCAGTCAGCAGCTGAGTAGTATAATGAAGGTGGACAAGGGGGGATGAGTTATACACGTTGTACAACTCGAGGGGGAGGACTTTATACACGTGCATGAAAACAAGAGTGGGAGTCCTTGCACCAGAATTTTAATAAGGGCCATCCCCTATCTGAAGTAGGTTTATTCTTCTCTAATGGCAGTTATATCATACTGCAGAAGACACATGAATGTGAGAAGGGCCTGCAACGTACCTTCTCTAAGCAACGTATGGTGACTAAGAAGACCGACTTTGCAGCTTCTTTCATTTGCACATCAAATTTTTCTTCAGGGGGATTGCATGCAGCTACAGATTCTTGTTGCCAGTGCTTGCTGCAATGCCCACCTTCATTTTCTTCGACACTCGCATCAATTTCTGCTCTCAGGTGGAAAAATAAAGATATGTACTATTCTCCATCAGCATTTCTATACGTGAGTCAAGCTTAGCATTGACAAAACCTTCATAATTTTAAGAAACTCAATTCACTGTGACTGGAGCAAACTTAGATTCACTATCTTAGATTTTAAACTAGAGGACTTGATCTACTTTTAAGGATAGGCAGAACCTACGAGGCCGGACCTGTTTGTAAAACAGTATTGGAACAGTCTAGGTGCTTGCGAAGACTTTTGAATGTGCCTGCCAGCTGCTTCAATGCAGACATTCCTGACATTCCGATTACACCTGACGGAGCTTTTGGGACTGCGGAGGCATGCAACCATGGAGCCAGTTTCCGCACAGGTGCTTCTAGACAAGAGTCTAATTTCAGCTGTAAATCATGGAGCAGGTACAGATAGACCGGCAGCTGCAGAAACAGAACCGCAAACATTTGGAGAATTAAAAAAAATTTCCAAGCCCTTGTACACAGACTGTAATTGGCGGTTCTAATGACTTCATAATTACAGTTATGAAAATAAGAGTTACCATTGCAGCTGAGTCTGGACAACATGGTTGATGCGGAACCTGCACGTGCCATCCAAGGCTAGTATCATCACACCAAAGAGGAATGAAAAAAAATTGAAATGAAAAGAACAGAAGTTATATGTACGTCGCGTTTTGAGATAAGAGTGATAAGGAGAGGCTAAAAAGGTCCAAACTCCAATCTAAAGGGGCATTCCTGAGTGGCACTTGAAAAAAGATTGTAGAACTCTTTTTAGTGATGAAAAAGACACATTTACTTTGCAGATCTACATGTAAAATAACATCCGTCGTTCTGAGAAGATGTTCAACAACAGCAATCACTATAAACGTCTTCTCAAAGGAAGTAACACAAGCAACAATAACCAGTCAAACGGGGGTATGTAAAAAGCCCAACCTGCACTGATAACAGTGCCATACTGGAGATATTGAGAGGACGAAATTTCCAACGCTGCTCTTCCAAGCTTTCTCCACTCAGGGCCCTGTTAATACTCATATCGATCACATTACATACACTTTGAGATGGCTGAGCTTCTTGTTCCTCAGGTTCTGCTCCAGCGCTCTTTGAGTTACTCGATCCTAGCACTTTGTTAAAAGCATCACGTATAGTTTGCTGACGAGAGCCAATTTCTGGTAAGGTATTTTGGACTCCTTTTTGGCTTCCACTTTCTTCAGACGTTTTACTCAATTTCTTTGGCCGCCCTCGTTTCCCGGTTGACTTCTTGGCCTCTTGCTTTCCACTAGCAGGTCTTCGATCTGCTTTCGATTGACTTGGATTCTCAATCATGGAATGGAGGGATGGTAACGATACCTTGAATGTGGTGAGACACTCACCCAGGCAGAACTCCAGAAACCTGAAGGTGTAGGACAGTACGCAGATACGGTTAGAGATCACTTATTGCACTCGAATATTCATACATCCAGATTCACCTCAAGACAAAACCTTCATTCAAGTATATGACGAGGGCCACTTTCAGTTTAACTGTCAGACCACATAAAGACTAAAAAGCTCACATCTTCTTATGCTTAAAATTATGACGCTTTTCTATACGAGTTGCTTGCAGTGACTTACATTAGGTTCCTCACACGTTTGCATAACTTCGAAACAGTTTCCTCACGCGTAGTTTGTGTTGCAAGATCTTCAAAGCGGCCATCAATTTGTGTTGAAAAAGCATTTATCTGAAATTATCTCCAGATAGACATGACCGTTAGCTATGGGACATGCAAGAGCTGAAGGTCTTATGATAGGAGATTCAGTATTCACATACTGTTTTCTGAGTTGATACTTCATGCCCTGTACATGCAAATCTACATCAGTAGAATTTTATGCAACCACATAGAGAGGTTGTTCGATTTATTCTAATTCTCTTCGTAAATAAGGAAAATGAGCTTACCAATTCTCTTGTCCAGTTGATGGCATAGAAAAGAGCAAGACATGCTTCCTCCTTTTGGTGTTTTGGCAACCTTTCCCAGGCGTCTCCTGTCAGCAACTGGCAGATGACAATCCAGTTAAAGACCAATATGTGCTGCATTGTTTCGATGGGTCCAGGTCACAAGCCATTTGTCGTCTTACCTGATACTTTGGTAAGTACATGGGACAACCAAGAAGAGCATCAATGCTTCCCAAAGATCCTTGATTGATGACTCGCTCAACCTGTTCGGTGACAACGTATATTTAGAGGATATAGTTCAATATTTATAATTTCACAAATTGTAATTTCAAATATTGTTCCACATATGTAGCAAAAAAGAAGAAAATTTTGGTGAAACGTCAAAAAATTTTGGCAAAGAAAAGATGAAACTCACAGCAGAAAGAAGCCGGAAATTGGCTGTGAGAAAGAGCAATGCTTGGGAGAGGCTGTTATAATGACAAGTACAACAACGTTTGAGATCTTCACCTTACACCAAAATGAGAAAAGTAGCTGATAGATTCACGAAGAAGTAATGAGAAAAAAAAAGAGGATTGTGGTCCATGTCCACAATATAGCAGTTGCTTCTGCTTTGGAGAGGATGAAACCTTCAACTCACCTCTTGTCAGAAGCTATCAGCATCGGCAAGATGTTTAGAATTATTGGGGACACTTCTCCATCCAAGTTCATCCATATTTCGCCTGACTCAAAAATCAAAGGGCCGTTGTTAGGACTGAAAATCAACATAGCTTCCCAACCAGTTTTTCATGGATAAACTTCTGTTGCCTGCTCACCTTCTAATGCTCCATTATGAAGAGACCCAGTTTGAAGCTGGCCATTTTCGAGGTCACCAAGAAACAAAGTTTCAAATTCATTGGTGTGCTTGGAGATCCTGGAGACAGCAGATTTCAAAAGAGAGCACTGTAATGAAGAGTAAATAGTGAACTTAGTGAACTATACGATGAACAACCGTCATCCTTTAGATTGGGAAAAATTGGTTGTTACTAGATCATAAGCTGGAGAAAAGAACTCTGTAATTTTTGCTGGTTTGAACCCTGCAGCCAGATCGCAGTAAATCATGGAATCCTGGAACCCTAAAGCTTTCCCACTTGTTCATGAGAGACGACCGAAAGAAATATACAGAATTTTCTATCCCATTATTTTAAATACACATGCAAGCTGGGCACAGGTATTAGGATCCAGTGGTATGCTGCTATATGTATTGTGGATATCTAGTCTTCATAATATGCCAGTCGTTAAATGGAGAATATGTTCTTCAAGAACCATGTTGAAAAGGTAGCTTTGATGACATTCACATTCAACAGCCCAACTTGAGACTTACCAATTCATGATTGGCCCATTGAGTGAGGTAGTCTCTGCTTGAGCAGTCAGCTCATCGTAAAAAAATCCTCTGGCTAGTGAAGACGATTTGCATGTCTCCAAAATCATTTGGAGTAGAAAAATGGCCTCGTCGGTGCTGGACCTCTTTTAGCACCGAATATAACAAGGACAGGCATGAGCATGCACTATTATATACAAAATATCACCAGGAAAGGTAGATCACTAAACCTCCAAAAGATAAACCTGAAATATATGGGTCCATAAAAATGACATAATGTGGTTCAAGCTATAATACCACCAGTATTTAGTGAAAAAACTTCCAGGTGTTGTGAATAAATCAAATTATAGGGAATGTAGATGAGATGTTGCGTCTTGCTAAGAGTAAAATTTGAGGAAAGAAGTATTGGTTACTCCGCCAAGAACAATTACCTGATGGTTCATCTCTTCTGTTTCTGTTTCAAGATTGTCCTCTCGACAGAGGCAGGACGCCAAGCCAACCGCACCAATTATTCCCATTCTTTTGTACTTTGGATCAGGACTGGATATCTGATATTTAGAGTTTCTCACACAGTTAGTTAAAATTGGGGGCTGAGTGGTGACATGACGAAGTGACTCAAAACTGAGACACATGGTCAAAACTTTCATTTACTTCCATCAACCTCTAGTTTATGCACTTGAGGGAAGAGTACACATCAATACCATCCGGAGTATTCGAGAAAGAGGATCTAAATTGGGACAATACTGGAGCCAACGCCCCTTCATGCTTGACATTCCTCAGGTTAGGCATAATCGGTTAATTGCAATGTAAGTTAGATGTAAAAACTGTTATTTCTCAATTCATAGGGTTGAGCTTGGGCAGTTACAGCTCTCTTATATGATACACTCAGTAGATACCTAAAACGTTACCTGTTTGCGGACAATTATGAGGAGCTCGCTAGCTACTGAAGATCCATTTGAGGAGCCACCTGCCGACCAAGCAGCTACAGCCAAATGGCTAAAAATTTTGTAAACCTGCAAACAAAGTAGAATTGATTGTATGTGGGTGTCAAGTACTTCCGTTGCAAAATAGCGTCATACATATTGGATGTAATCTTACTGACTCCTGTGAAATGTATTTCCCATCGATGGCTTATACCATAAGTTCAATTGCTTAATTTAGATGACTCTTAGGGATAGGTGTCTGGTGGAGCCCTAAAACTGCCAAATTTGCATTATAGTGTATATAGTGGATGTCACCCTCCTCAATCTTTGGAAGTTGCACTATTTCTAGCTTCTCTTAGCCTCAGAACGAAGATTTAAATATGGGACACGAAAAGAGAAGATGTGGGTTGATTCTACAGGATAAATTTCAGCTCAATACGAATGTACACGTACCTGATGTAGATGCTTGTCTTCAAATCCCTCTAAAGAATCCAATACACCTACAATAGCACAGGTCACGATTATGGTACTATGGCGGCTGTGCAGAGGAGTATTCTTTACGGCATTACTATGATTCTAAATATTTGTGTGTTGTAAAAATAATAGTTGACATATAAGAAGCCAGCAGTTGTGATTTAACTTTTGTTTTATTGTGTAACACACCATCACCTTCACAACTCACTTATCATAGTTAGAAGGAGATGCCCAAAAATGTAGCTAGTGGAACAAGAGAACCAAATTTCCAATATTCGCTAATACTTGCATGTGATAAGCTCAAGCAAATAATTGGACCAGTAATTTATTCAGTGCAATGCAGCACGGAAGATTGACTTCAGCATAGAACCAACCATTGATGAATGAAGATATCGGAAGAAGATCATTAACATGTCTGGTGGCAAGTAAAAGCAGCGTGTCCAATGCTGATCCCACTTCATTAGAGATCCCAGAGCCAGTTAGTGTGATCAGGGATCCAAGGACCTGAAAAAATATGAATGGGACAGAATGAGGAAACCGTATCAATTTAACTTGCGGTATCATTTGAAATACAATTATCTTATTTATTCGGCAAGTGAACCAGCTTCAGTCCTGGACTGAATAAGAGCTACTGGATACTGTATATCAGTTGCTAGGATAAGATTCAACAATATTGAGGTATGGAGATTATATGTGAAACTCACAATCTCATTCAGGAATCCCAGCTGTAATGAGCAGATTAGCAAGATAGTTGACATGCTAATGTGATAAAATATCAGAAATCTAGGCATTATTCACGACTGTTACATACCTCTTGGCGGTGATAAGGATCGATGAACTCTTCAAATAGAAGCTCATGAATCTGCATTCCAAATCGTCTAGCAACCGTTTCTGTGCTTCTCAGGCAGGATTCGCTGACAGAGATCAACGTTTGGAAGTATTCCTGCGTGACAACATTTGACACCGCTAAGTTCTGTTGTCTACAATATACCTGTTTTCCACTCTTGCTAAATTCCAGATAGGAGCTTGTTCATATGTAGAAGGAATCGTATTACCTGTAACGAATCTCCACGACCTTGTATACATTGCAGTAATAAGGGCCTTCCTATGTCTCCACGACATATTTTCTTGAAAAGTAGCTGCTCAGCTATCTTCCGGTACGGGCCCCCATTGACATGTATAATTAGAAGCAACCATATGTCTACCACCCTATGATTCTTCTCTCCCTCAACATTTCGAATTTCCTTCAAGAAGCCTTCTAAAACTACCTGCATAAGTATATCAGGCGTTTGGTTAGCAGAATACTTCTCCTGGTGTACCACTCGGGTGTCTCTCTATGTAGAGCTGCATAAGTTCAATCTCAGGCCTTATGTTGTATCATCAGGCCTGGACAGATAGATGTCAAGAACCTCAATTCACTCCGACAAACTTACGTCATTGTCAAACATACATTTTGAAATCGCAGACCTGAGCGAATAGCTTCAAGAACCAAGGCCTCGCAGTTCTTGGTTGGAGACTTTCCCTTTTGCTTACGATCCGGCTTGCTCATTCGGACATCCATAGTAGTCACAAACTGGAGATTCTCTCGAAGTTGCTGTACTATTTCCGTGACATTTGCTGAAGTAGCAGATTGCAAGAGAAACTTAACAACGAGGGGCAGATCTTCTGCATCAGCTGACCTCAGACTAGAAAGTGCGAGTGCAACAACCTGATAAGAAAAAAAATTAAACGTTTGGTTTAGTGCACATCACACAGACGTCAGATGTGAGTGCTTCCAATGTCATTCTACTTTGACGACGTACTGGGTGTTCGTATCGTACACGTCATTTCAATCATGTTCACGGCTGCCCACATGGCAATTTTACACACGTAGGAATGCAAGGAATCTCAGCGTAAGTATTCTCTTGACCTGCTCAAAGAGTTTTTCCTCCAAGTTGAAGCTCGAAAACGCGTCTAGAATTGGCACAACGAGCTGCAAGTCCTCCTGTAACATACCCTCTAAAGCCTGCACGACCATCTCATGATCTGCGTCTACAATCACTTCGGGCAGAAAGCTAATAATCTCCTTTTTCAAACCAACAGGACAAATGGTAATTATCTCCAGTAGTTTTTCAGTAAGATTTCGACTATCCACAACATAATCCAGCCATCGAAAATGGCTCAATATTAGCCTCGGTATGCTCTCCATCAGAGGTGGAAGAGGACCGCCGCTCCCACCCTCAACGTCTCCAACATACTCAGGCAGTTTCTCTAGAAGACCAGTTGCAACTGAAGTTTGGATGGGGGCTACGGACAGCAACACTCTAGCGAGGCTGTCGCAAGATCGCACGCTTCCATTCCTTCCTGATACCGTCATGGGTAGTAATATCCTGAAAGCAAGGATCCCGAAGAAACAACTTAGCTGAGGGTAATTCTTTTCCTATTACAAGGCAGCAAGTAAGTCAGCTGACAGTGTACCCAGAGTAGGCCAACACATCGTGGAATATTTCAACTTAACTTCGATCCTTACATTAACTATGGAAGAGTGTGAAGATCTACTACAGGGAGGTGAAGGGAAGAGCAGGAAATTGGTAGGATTGTCGTTCTATCCTGGCAGATATAGGAGCGACGGAGATGACATTGTGATTAGACAAAGGCTATCGTGTTCCAAATGTTTGGAAACTGAACGGTACAGTTTATTTTATAACATTTTGGATAAGATAGAGTCGGAGAATTCAAGTTCTACTTTGAAACAAGATAAGAGACCAGGCTAAGGTTTCCAGGACAGCCTCTAAGGAGCGAGACATGCCCTGCGCATGCTGCTGTATCATTACCGCCTCACTGCTCATAGATTGTGCGGATAGGAGAGCTCTCCTTGACGGGAGCTATGCGATTTAGTCACCTACATTTTCAGGCTCAAACTAGACCACTTGATAAGAGCAATGAAGAATTACAGATGGACTGTGTAGAAGAATTCGATAGAGTTAAATGTCGGATCCTAGTCATGGCAGCCACCACCTGAGGAAATTTGAGAGGAGGGAGGAGAGGATACTAACACAAGGCACAACACCACAGAACTTATGGATTCCGTGCATTTTACAGATACAGTCGAACTGACCTGCGAAGATTGTCTTCATTTGCTATAAAAGCCTGAAAACATTCCAGAAATCTGCCCACAAGTTCAGCATCCAGCTTGAAGCGTTCCTCCAGGTGGACAATGACGCTGCGGGAATCGCAAGATATCACGGGAACACCAGGTGCCCTGAGAGAGCATGCTGCACTAGCTAACACTGATAAAAACGCGTCAGCCTGACTGTGTGTGGACTGCGTAGGGCGTCTTCGCGCGGGCGAAGAGAAGGTTGTGCTGTCCAGGACAAGAGACCTTTTCCTCGAGTCTACTCCAGCAGTCATTGAAACTGGCAAGGTCCCGAGAGCAGAATCAATTCACGAAGAGAAAAACAACAACACTCCCTCCTTCCGCTCACCAGAAACTACAAACCAAACCTCACGCAGCAGCACATTACAGTTCGGTGCGGTCTCTATGTTGTAACACACACAAGCGCGCGCATAAACTCAACGACAGAATGTCTCCTCTGCGTGCTCGGCCATCCAGTGCGCAATTCTCCTCGCGTTAGAGCCTCGGGACGAATCGAGGGGCCGCTCTGCCGGCGACGAAATTTGAAGGACTTCCCGCCAAACTTGCGACCCGGCCACCGCCAGTTTGGCTCTGTATGTCCGCGGCGCTTGGCCGCAATTTTCGTGCCCTTTATAGTTTCGGGTCATACAGGGAAAGCGGGACATTTCGAAATTCAGCTTCTTGGTTCCGGGATTAGCCGAATGTAACGATGTCCGCCGGATCTCGCTTCCCATCCCGATTTCTCTCGTATTTCGGAAAGTCGAGGCGGGGGGTTTTACTCTTAGCCTCGGTCGATCTCCTCTCCGTGTGACCTCTTCTACATCTACAGTCTGATGACGTGTGGTGCTTACCCAAGCCTCTTGCAGGCGAATTGTTCTTTCTCTCTTATACAAGGTCGGTGAGAATTATTGCTCTGATCTGCCTTGTCAATTCGAACATCGTACGGCTTGGTATTCTCCGTGATCAAGTAATAAGATCTAGCGCGGTTGTCGATTTGATATGAATCTGTAGCTCAGTTGTTAGACTCATTGGATCAGGTAAGTTTCTGCTGTCTTCTAAGGCAGTCACGTTTGAGGCACTTCGGAATGGAATTCTTGAATGACCAAGCGCGGTAGGTCGGTCGTGTATTAATTTCGAGTGAAATCTCTCACAGGCAAGAGATTTCTCGTGCTCTGCGATTCAATCCTTGCTCGACGTGGATGTGCAGAAGGTGTGAATGGTATAAACAAACCCAGAATGATGGATTGAATCAGCCTACAACTTCGGCTGTCAAAACTCGAAGCAGCCCAAGTGTCATCAAAATAGGAACTGCCTCAAGATGCCGATACAAGTGCAAATGCCAAGCAATTGAAGCTGATGGAAGAGTAACTGTGGTTACTGAAGTTTATTGCATTGATTGAAACACATGAAAAGGGCTGAAACGAGGTGACGAAAAATGACTGATTCCTACTACTGAGTCGAGGAGATCTTGATTTTTGGAACTGAGGCCTCCGGAGGTTGCTGATGTTCGATTCACTGTAACGACTGACCACAGCTTGCATCCAAAAGCCAATCATAGAAGATCAGAGTCCACTTCACGTCAGAGCATCCAAGTCTCGAAGACAATGTCGGCAAATCACAACGAACCCCTATCATCACAACTATCTGTATCGCCAAAGCTGGCCCCGATATCAAATTGACCCGATAACATCAGGATTATACTCCATGGCTCGCAGGGATCCGTCCACAATCAATCACTCCGATTATTTCTGCCTCCGCATTTTGCAATGATATGTGGCAAGACTTCTCTTGAGAAGTAATTCAGAAAATCCTCGCATCCGCAGAGACACTCGAGGATGCAGTTTCTCTTCCGATGATATTGAGGAGATGGCTCGCGCACGGCATACCGATCGTGAAGTCTTTCGTACGAACCCATCTTCGCTGACAATTCTCGACCACAGCCTGCAATTCTCAAAGGGTAGGAACGATGAAAAGGAGTGCTGGATTCATGTCGGAGTTGATCTCGTAGGGTTACCTCGGCTACTTACAGATCTCTTTGAAGAGGAGCTACCGAGAGACCGCGTGATTACAGTATCACGACGAGCCCTCTGTCAGCCGTACTGCTACGAGGCCATGAGCCAGGTAATATCTGTTGGCATTGGACGCTGAACGTACCTTAGAGACGGAGGATGGAAATTCCGAAAGATTGATGCTCGTGGCATCAATCTTTCTTCAGACGGCTCTTTCCGGTGATCGGTACATCCTCCTCTAGCTTCCTATTCCTACTACTTGTGCATGAGGACAGAATCCATCCGATGCTGGTATAAGTGGGGACGAAATACAGTGATTGCTGATCCGTGGCAGGGGAACCGCGAATCTCTGATGCCTTCTGATTCTCTTGAAATTCCATAAAATATGATCACTACTTACTGCTTCATCCTCCACTTCGCCACGTTTCTTCATCACTCCGGTAGATACGATCGGCATATCTGCTACAAAAACTTACTCGATAACTATTTTTAATTGTTCCATTGTTCCTCTTAATCCGTTCTCACAAAGTTTCGCAATACGAATGCTGAGACCTTAAGAGTGAATTGTCGGTAATGTCCACTCACACTCGTTGCATTCAAGTGTCTATTAAGGTGATATTGAGCTAAGTTCACACTTGAATATAGTCAACTTCAAATTACAGCTTCAGTTTCCACTTGACTATTTGTCTGTGACTGAAGGTTCATATGAAGAAATCATTCGATCGGCCAAATCACCACAAGTAGGGAGGGACTCGCAACCTGCCACGGAGAATGCATAACATTTAAAGGAGAAACCATTGTGCAATAGAGTCATCGTCCACGTGTGTAAACAAACGGAGTCTCGACATTCCCTGCCAACGCTGATTGGTGAGATTAACGATGAACTAACACCAAATGAAGGTAAGGGAAGTAGGACGAGGTTCTCTGAACTTACACGAAAACCTGCAGACAAATATGATGGGTCTGGTCACGATTTACCGCCTGGCTCTACGGGTATGATAGACAAAACTATGAAACTGAAGGCATGATGGAGGAAACGAGGGTATAAAATGCTGATCAGGTGAATTCTGTTCAACTTAAGGTTTTATTCCCGTGTCATTGAGTTGGACCTGCGGACATCTCGTTCACATGGCTATATGTGATCTAACATTGTGGATGGGGTGTCCTTGGACAGCTCACAAGGGTGCATTCCTATGTATTTATTTCCTTGACTTGCTCTCGGCGATGACGAGAGCGAGAGAGGAGAGGAGAGGAGGTTAATGCCGGAATAGTTTGTCACGAAAGGGAGATAGTAGAGCAGTCAGGGGCTGGATTAGTTGTTCGCATATCGCAGGCCTATATCATGCCACATATAGGCTAGTATTGAAATTGGCTTCATTTGTAAAAATTTTGTTTCATTGGTTTCAAACTTGCTTTGGATGAGGAATTGGTCAAGAGATGATACTAAGTTTAATAATTTAAGGGGTTTGAATTTTACTTTACTTTTAGAACGGATAATTTTAGGTTTTTGGTGTTTTAGTCAATGATTGGGTTTTATTGGTGTCTAATTTTAAAGTTTATGAAAATCAGAATAGAAAGTCATGAATATATTTAAATTAACAACAACACATGTCAAGTGGTACAATACACCTGTCATGGCTCGAGACGTTGGGTCGATTTGAGTGGAGACACGTTGAGTTCGAGTTGGAGTCGGGGAACGTTGGGAGTCGGCTAACGTTGGGCCGCAGCAGACGGGCGAGGAACGTTGGATGGAGTCGACACCTCCCGTGGGTTATATTCGTGGCGAACTCGAAGAACTGACATTGTTGTGATACCTTTGTGTGTGGACACTCTCGTTCCTTGTGTATGTATGTGTGAGTTGTGAGTAGAGCATGTCAGCGATATATGATGTATGGCGATACTGAGTCGCACGACACACCATTTACCGTATTGATTGTTTCTTTAACTAAGAGGGGGTAGAAGACCTTCTGGTTAGTTGCAACCATATTACGACTTGATTATTTGGAATGTACTCTTTATTATGTTGTTGCTTTTCTTAGATAAATATGGGCATAATAATTAGGTGAATATGTTGTACACACTAATTACTTGCAACGTATGATTAGCAGAATATGAAAGTTTCAGAGATGCTCCACTTTTCGTCACTTCAGCAATGAGAGTGAAGAGTACAACAGAAGTTGGCAAATGTGGACATAATTGTTCATAGAGGGAAGCATGCAATTGTTACTAAGCGAACTACTAGACATAAGAATATGTCAGTTTCTTTTTGTGTGCATAAAATATGACTACAGCGCAAGAGCAGTCTATGTAGAGCACATAATTTTAAAAATGGATTCAGACAAATTGATACTTTTGGTTTTGCTTGAATGCAACAATGTAAGATCATGGGCATAAACACCAACACAAACACCAAGCAGAAATCATACATGTTACACATTTCGGATCTATAATATTATTTTGGTTGAAAACCAAACAGGAATACATGTTAGATTAGATATGGTCTTCCGTATTGTTTCCCTATATTACTTGGTATTTAGTGTTAAAATTGTTCATAATAAAATAAAGATCATATATTCAACTCACTTATACAAATTTCAATTATATATATATATATATATATAACATACAAATTTTTTGACAGGTGGTAGAGCGAGTGGATCGACAAATGGGATGTTGTCTACATCACGCTCCACAACGATTTTCTCAATGCAAGCACATGCTTCGACGAAGACTAGACCAACATCTTGCAACAACTCCTTAGGCTCCATCTCATCTGTAGTGTCTAGAATGCCTTCAACCCACGATGTGAGTCCTAAAACAAATTCTTTCACGTTCAGAAGTGTGAGAGCATAGCAATCCCTGATGACATGCGTCGTCACATACATGACAGAAATCATTTATCTGTTAGCGGCCCCTTGATACTAAGATCTTCGATGAAGATGCCAACGAAAGCGTTGAGCTCCGCCTGCTGTTGCGATATCAGGGTCGTCAAGCCTTGAATCTTACGAAAGGTTTTGGCGAGCTCCGCCTGCTGTTGCGATATCAGGGTCGTCAGACCTTGAATCTTACGAAAGGTTTTGGCACTATTCACCGTGAAGTTATCCATGGCAAGAAGATACACCCACCAAAGTCAAGACGGAGCACTCGCATGCTGCTTCAATTCAATGTAAGCTAGAAGCTCAGGCCGGTGCTTCTTGAACCAAGTTGTAACCTTGTCTGTAGAAAGCCATCGGTTTACAACTTGAGGACATGTCGTACTCATTTCTGCGATCAAGGTGAACTGCCGGGTGAGATGCGTAATGAAACCTGACATCACATAAAAAAAGCGCTCCTTCACAACTACATTCATGATGTGTTGCATAACTTGATCGAGCTGGTGTGCCCCGCACCAGATTCGGATCACATCTCAATCTTTATGAAGTTCTACTTGAAGCCTTGTCACGAAGCCTGCAACACGTCCTGTCATATTTTGAGCTCCATCACTCGACACGCCAAGAAGAGAAATTCTCCTATGAGGGCAGAGTATGTCAACAAACTGAAAAATCATGTTGAACATGACTTCGTCTGTGTGTCGTTCAAAAATTGG